TATTCTGCCCATGGGACAAAATCAAGAAGCTCTCTCACTAAGGGAGTGGGAAAGATGAAAATATAGACGGACATGGGGAATAAGACGCTGACCCAGTCGAGATGAAAAGGACGACGAAACAAACTAGAGAGGTTGGGAATCCCAACTTGGATCATAACGAAAGAGGCAGCCGGGAACAGGCCAATAACAACACTTACATTAACTAGGTACACAACAGCTTGGCCAACCTAACCAAGAGGAGGTCTCCGCAGGAACCCCCCCTCCGATGTGACGTAGGTTGATCTAGAAAATCAAGGCTAGCCCCATTCAAACGAACCAAGCTCACCTCTTTCACCCACCTTTCGCTGAAGACTGCCGAATGCAAGCGTTTTCTAACAGTTCTAATCTTCATCTTGAGCTGATGCTCAAAGAAACGGATTAGATCCTGATGAGAAAGATGGTTGCCTCGCAAGACTTCCTCTTGTCACGTCGTCCAAAACACCATTCGGGCAGTGGCCAGCAGCGTGAGAAACACCATTCGTTTCACCCCAGAACACGTGGGCGACACATTATCACACGCGTATGCGCGATCAATGGGCAAGAGCTGTTTGGGAACGAGACGAACCGTCAACTCGCCGACATGGTCCCATAAGGGCCGGACCCGGCCGCAATGGTAGCATGCACATATTTTGGATAAATGTACTACAATCGTTAGTTCCATCAGTTCTGACATTTTCAGTTACGACCTGCCATGCCACGCACATTCACTCTGTATTCCGTTAATGAAAAGTAAGACGCACTCGAATAGCTTCCTCCCACGAACCGCTACCCTGTGGAATCGACTTCCAAGAGTCTTCTTCCTCCCCATTACAATCTTAACTTATTCATACTGTGTTAACCGTTATCTTTCGTGCATATTCTCATAAAATGCACTTCTTACGTCTTACATTTAATGCTCACACATTAAATTCCTTCTACCTCGAGTTGTTCTGGAGATTTGTATAGGGTAATCATTAGTAAAACAAATGTCAAAGACTGCATTGTCTTTCAGGATGTTGCCATGTTATTTTTCTTAGTGCATTATGTCTGAGATCTTCATTTACTTGATGGAGAGGATTCTTATTTCTTAAAGATTGGTTTGGTTTAGTTTGTTTAATGGCATATCAATTCCTTATAATTATGACTTATAAGACCATCCCACATTTTCATTTTGAGGATTTAATAATCTTTGACTGGTACGAAGATTGGGGATGGGCAGGTGTAAGTGCAAATACTATTATATATAACTGCGTTGTGCATGAAACTCCAGGCGGTGCTATCGGTGAGGAAGAATATGTATTTTTATTAATCTATCTATCTATCTATCTATCTATGTATGTTCATATATATATATATATATATATATATATATATATATATATATATATATATATATATATATATATTGATATATGTGGGTATATATATGTGTATATATATGTATGTATATATATATATATATGCATATATAAGTATATATATGTTATGTTGTATTGCGAAAAATAATTGATTTGCTGCACTTGCAGGTGTCTGAATAAAACGTTTTCTATAATTACAGTTAGAGAGACACAAAGCATCGTCATACTGAATGTCAACAAGAATAACAGTATAGCACTTACACTCACATGCGTGTACATATGAAAACAAACTTACAGTTTAAATGATAGTGACACTTCACTATCGTCAGAGATTTATGTAGAAAGTCTAGCTCTACACATCTGCGATGGGACATCATCTAGAATATTGCATTCTTGTTCTAGGATGACGTAAGGAATTTCAAATTTCAAATTCGACACCTGTGTCTAAACCTATTTATCTAGATTCTCCTAAAATTAATAAACTTTCTGGTGATCTCTGAACTGATTGAATTGCCTCAGATAGAAATAGAACTTGTGGCGGACTTCCACGACATTTATTTAATTTTGATTAGGAAACCAAACTGACGTGAAGAAAGGACAAGGCAAAGGTATCATTATATATAAAAAAAAACTGTATTCAACAATATATACATTAAAAAATGTTTACGAAAAAGCATGCAATGAGTAAAACGAGAGTTGTTTCTCTTTGACTATCATTGTCTATCAAAGTTCTCTGAAAAGAAAGAGTTAATAGTTTGTAATAAATGTTTTTTAACAGTTTTGCTGTGCAAGAGGAAAAATATGTAAGTGTAATGGAATATGCAGTTTGTGAGTGTTGAGTGAGAAGATCGGCGCATAGCTTCAACTGTCGTGGATTTCTGTGGCAGCTCACTGGTGTGTCAACTCTTTTTTCTTACTGACATGTGCTGAAATTCAGCCTTCGCTAATTTGTACTTATCCGGGTTTAATCTGCGAGGGGATGAAAAAACAGGAGGTCCTGATGTTTGAATCCTATATACAGTGTTGTGCTTGACGGACTCCGTATAAGTGAAAGGTGTTTTCAGCGCCGGGAATTTATCTAAGACGTGCTCTAGTGGGTTGTTTTCTGGGAGTGCGGTGCAGATCTTAGTGGACGTATATGTGGAAATCATGCCTGTAAGTGTTAGTTGCGTCGTCTGGTCGATTAGAGTGTGGTTAGACATGTTCACGGCGAGCTTGTAGTGGGCTAAAATGTCAGCTCCGAGGATAGGAAATTTCGCCTGTGCGACAGTGAACAACCAAGGAAATGATCGTCTTAAACCGATGTTAAGTGTAAGAGAGATTTGACAATACGTCTCAATCTTGGTACCGTTTGCTGCACGCAGGGTATATGTTGATTCGCCTATTGTGGTGTTAGCTCTGGGTGAGATTACACTGACCAGTATCCACCAAAAATAACTCGCATGAGTTAGCATCCTTTAAAAAAAGTCGATTAACTCGATTTCCCCCAAAAGCAGACGCTGTCTTCATGCGCTGTTGGGGTCGTCTTTTCCCGCTTATTTTTAGTAGTAGATGTTGGTTGACCGTTGAAATGGCAAGACTTAGTACAATGTCTCGCTGCTTTTCAAACTTTTGGTGGTACCAGCAAATACCAGTGTTTGGTTTACTCCTAGTGTTCGAGTTAGCTCTGCTATGGTGTCGAGACTTGTATGCGTTGTATGCTGGACGCGAACGCACTCTACTCAGTCGCTCCAGTTGCGTGGACAGTTCATCGATCTGCTGTTGTATCTTCTGTAGAATATAGTCATGTGATGTGCTGTTCGTCAAGGAAATATGAATGCTGGTTAAAGTTTTTTTCTCCACGATTTTATCGGCAATTGCAGCCACTCGTAGTAGGTCCAAGTCCTCAGGGAGTGTTGCCAAAATTTGCGCGGTGTGGGTCGGCAGCTTATCTATCCAGAGTTTCCGTAGCGAGGCCTCTGACATGGTGTTGTTACCCAGAAGGTTTTTCATCTTCTGAAGAAGTTGGGTTGGTTTGCTCTGGTCGAGTTGAAGCGTATTGAACAGATCGTTGATTCATCGTTCCTCTGACTTTCCTGTCCTGTATATAATAGCTTCTCTCAGGGCGTCAAATGAGTGTTGAGTGAGAAGATCGGCGCATAGCTTCAACTGTCGTGGATTTCTGTGGCAGCTGAAGTCTCACTGGTGTGCCTACTCTTTTTTCTTGCTTTTATAGGTGATCTTTGGATCAGAAGTGCTGCGCGGGAAGAATCACTCTTCACGTGCAGACAATCCGATTGGTCGACACTGACCAATCAGTGAATGAGCTTTGGGGAGATTTCTGGGAGCCGATTCTGCCCAAAAAGTGCACAAATCTACTATACGTAAATATAGCGATTTCAAAATTGTCGCATAAGATAGTAGCGTTGATTTCTATCCAATGAATGATTTTTATTGAAATTTGAATTTGTATGGGCATGTATGTGTGTGTGTGATGATGATTGCTATAAACGTAACAAAACAAGGTTGACATTTACATTATCTTTATCTAAGATGCTCTCATTTTAAAAAGAGAAGTTAAACATACATTTGTCAATTTTTCTCTCTCTCTCCCTGCTCTTTTTCTCTCTTTCACCCCACCACATATATAGATATATTAGAACGGATTTTTTTTTATTAATCCGACAGATTTTTATCACTGGAAGCGTTCTTTTTTAGTGAATATTAATATTTGAATAGGCGCTGCGTTTATTTATTAAACAGTATATTTATTTATTTTCGTCTACTGGCCTGAATGTTTGAGATATCTTCAAAAAGAAAAAAAATTACACTCTCCCGCAAGAAACGAACCTTTGCCTTGCCGGGCAAATGGAGCTAGCATTTATTCCATCAAGCCTTACCGACTTTACGACAAAGAGGTCAACGGTGTCAAATTTCGTGCTTTCAATCGAAATTTCTCCTGTCATATATCTCTCTAACTTTTCACTATCTGCACATTTTCGTATCCAAACGTAGACAAAGAGAGAATTTAAATGGATTGTGAGAACGCACAATCTCTTTAATAAGATTTCTCGAAAATTCAGGCCGGTAGACGAACTGTTTGACAAATAAACGGAGCGCCTATTCAAATACAGTATCCACTAAAAATAACGTTTAAAGCGACATATATATATATATATATATATATATATATATATATATATATATATATATATATATATATATATATATATATATACAAACACACACACACACACACACATATATATATATTATGAAATGGACAAAGTCCGACAATTATTTTTTTAAGACATTTTTTATGTTTATACGTTCTTTTTATTGATACAAATATTTAAGTAAATGCTCTGTTTATAATACACAGTATTAACAACATTTACCAGCCTGAATGTCCGAGAAATTTTCATAGAATATATGCATCCTCCGCTAGGAATCGAACCGGTATCTTATACGGAATCGTCATATAGCCTGACGTGCCTTAACCGATTGGGGCACAGAGCAGCGTTCGGTTAGCAAGGTCGATTTTACTGTTTTTAAACACAATTCTCCATGATTTTCTCTCATTCATTCATATCTACTCAATGCGTATCCAACTGTAAACAATTCCTGTCGGAGTACGCATATTTTATATGAAAAAAATTCTCGGACATTTAGGCCGGTAAATGATGTTAATACTGTTTATTATAAATATAGCATTTTCTTAAATATTTGTATCCATGAAAAAGAACGTATAAACATAAAAAAATGTTAATATATATATATATATATATATATATATATATATATATATATATATATATATAAAAAGTAACATAGTCAACACTTAGAGGCGACAGTCTGTTTCATGCTATATGCAATCGTCAGGCCACGTGTGCTGTTATTTTTCTCGGCTATTTATACATATACGGGTCAGTGGTGCATTGTGGGTAGTCTATTATGGCGGTTATTTTACCGGATGAAAGGACTGTGTATGTATTATAATGTTTTCATATGTAATTCTTTAAATGTATTTTTCCATTTATTATTGTTGCACACTTTTCAGAGTCAGTCTTTCCACCTTACATCTCTATAAACATCTTGGGACAGTCCGCTCCTGTCACAGCAAAAACCGCCACAGGATAAGGGATAAAACTCTATTATAGCAAATAGTTAATGAGAAAAAACATGTAGGCAAAAATATACACGCGGCATATATATATATATATATATATATATATATATATATATATATATATATATATATATATGTTTGAGTGTGTGCGTGTGAATGAGTTCGTACACCGTTATGCAAAATTATTGAAACATTCGCTTTAGTTTCCTTTCTTTCACCATATGGTCAGATTTAGACACACTAGATTGACAGGGTGTAATCGATTTATAATTTTTCCTAAGATTAGGTCATTTACAGTGGTGTGCAGCAATATGACTCTATTTTCGGAATGTATGATGAAATTTGTTTGGCAATGAAAATTATTGCGTCATCCGAGATTGCATCAGATTTTTATCCCGCCCAGACACTATTGACTCGATTGTTGATTAGTTGTCCTACGTCAATTTTCTGCGATGTACGTTACTCCAAGGAAGCGTACGAAAATTGTAACGCAGCACGAAGACACTGGCAAGCCTTAATAAGTAAGCATATCAAAGTACTATAAACCAGCCTGGAGACTCTCCTGATTTAAATCCAGTCGAGAATTTGTGGTCAATCTCCAAGGAACGATTTCGGGGAGTGGACATACGAAGTACTAACATGTGTACTGAGTCATGTTTCATTGGAAAAATGAAAAAAAAAAAAATTAAAATAAGAACGGAATTATTCGTTTAGTTTCAATTAATTTGCACAAGTGTGTGTGTGTGTGTGTGTGTGTGTGTGTGTGTGTGTGTGTGTGTGTGTGTGTGTGTGGGTGTGTGCCTGATTAGCTGGTTACTTGGAGGTTCAGACAGAGTCGGTCTATCATAGAACCAATCTGGCATATTCTATTGCTTTTCATGTATTGTTCGTCTCCACTTGTACGTTTTAAGCAAAGATCTTAAGCACCTGTTGAAAATGACATTTATCTTTCGAAGTACAGGTTTAAAGAACAGTTAAGATCATAACTATGTGTCATAAATGACAACGAAGTTCATAAGTAAATGCTATAAGAGATAATAAATAAATATTGGGCCTACTGAAATAGAAAGCTATTATCTCAATTACTGCTATTCAAATACAAGATTTAGTCTAAAGGTTTCCCCAGCAGCCGTAAAGATATGGAACATTTGTAAGAAAAGATATTGAAAACCAGTTTCCATTGCTTTTATTATTACTTTTTACAAATTTAAATTTTCTTTCTAGGTTGGTTGGTTGTTTTGTTTTATGGTATATCAACCTCAGTGGGTCATTTAATGCCAACAAATTTTTTGAAATAGTTTCATAGCGATAGTTTGGTAAAGAAAAAAGGCGTGTATGTATACATATATATTTGCACCATTTTCAATTACTCATATTTTTGAGAACAATCCAACTTCTTTTAAGAAATTTACAATCTTGGATGGTTTTATTTTCGTAAAAAGTTTTTAATATATTTTTTCCTCAAAAATGTATAGCTAGTAATATTATTTTCAAAAATATATTGCTGGTAATAGTTTTTTTTCCTTCAAAATTTATGGCTGGTTATAATTTTTGAAAAGTATTTCTGGTATTAAAACCTATTTTTACACTTTCATAAGTCTTTTTACCTCAGTATCGAGATTAACTATTTGCCCATAGCTGGGACCCTAACAGGTGCTACCACCCCGGGTCAGGGTGAACCTTGGAACACCAGCAATTAAGAGGTGGTTCCACGCTTCTCAAAACCTCCTGATCAGAGGCCTTGCTGTTGGACGTAGTTTGCCGTCTTACCCTGGACGCGGATGTAGTTTATCGTCATAACCAGGATGGGTTTTCTTTTCTAGGATTATCTATTCTTTAAATAAAATATTTCGCTGTCTCTTACTTTTATCTCATCATACTGGGTAGCCTAAAAGCTGTTTCTACTTTTCCTGGTTCGGTGAAAGCATCAGCATTTTTCACTTTGATATGTGCCAGCTCTTATACAATCGTCTTTTAAAAAAAATGTTCAGCTCAGTGTATTTTTATTTATTGACTCTAATATTGAAAACGGAAGAAAATAACATTTTCTGTATATTATAAGGTTTTTATTTTAATCAAGTTAAAGATTTAACGTAAACTTAAAATATTACCGCATTTCCTGACGTGTTTTCTTCGCTTTTGAAAGTTTCCACCACAAATTATCCTGAAGGCCATGATTTCGAGGAAGTTAATGGGTTCAGGCGATTGTTACATGCACATTCCTCTTTACCAGAATATCCACTTGGAAACTCTAGAACAGAATATAATATGTGTTTATAATTTGGAATCTAAGGTATTTATGAAATTCACTCGATTTGTCTTATACTTTAAGACATTAACGTTCATGTCCGCAATGAAAACTATGCGTCAAAAGGACGATTTTCTCCATGACATCGCCATAATTTTGTACTCCAGTCACTCCGACAGTAATGTTTATTTACCAGATTATAAAAATATGTGAACCAAGACAATGCGATATTTATTATTTACCATTTTATAAAGAAATATATGCGAATAGAAATTGTTTTATTCAAAAATTCCAGGGAGTGAAAAATTATCAAGATATATAAACCATTTACAATGCAGATTTATTATTTACCATTTCATAAATAACTATGAATACAAGTTTTTATTCATAATCCCATAAAAATATCAATGCATTGTTGCATGAAATAAATGCCGAAAATGCATTTTTTAAAAAAATTATATTTACTGTACCATGTGTCCTTGAGGATATTACTTTTATAATACTCAGAAATTCACACACAGATGGCACAGTGGATAAAGGCGTTAGTTAGATCCACTGATAGAACCCAAAGAGTGTGAGTTCAATACCTGGTTAAGGCGGTGGGGAACTTGTAGAGGAGAATTAACAGTAGATAACTGATAAGTAACATCCATTAAACATGGCACGTAAAACTAGAACAGTCTATTTCAGTGAGCGAAATAAAAGCTTCAGTTCGACATTTCAACCACCTGAAAAATGCATACAACGGCCGAAACAGTGTAATAAATATGACGACAAAGATGAGGACAATAGTCCGAATAATGTAAATAATGAACTGAGTTCCAAGATTGCCAATGTTTTTTTTTTCATAATGTTCAGCTCAAATTACTCGTAAATACAACAGTAAAACTCCTGTTTCTTTTGACGATTCAAAGTTTGGCTCAAGTTACGTAAAGAAGAAACACTACGATCTGACCTTTGCATTGAAAACTGACGTTCAATGCTGTCTTTTTCTCATGAAAGCCTTGATTTGATTGATTATGTCGTAAGAATTATTCCGGGTGATCGCTTTATAGAGGAATGAACATCTGAAACCTGTCATTTGTTTAGAATAAACACCGTTCCTTAAATCTATTGGCAGATTTCCTATTGATGAGCTCCAAGAAGCACAAACAGTATATAAGCTTTTATATATCGTCGTCTCTTTTATTTTATTTATTGTGGTGTTTTACTGTGAATGTTCGGATTCGAACACCAATTCCCAAAGATGTCAGCAGACTTGCTATTGATGTGCTGGCAGAAGCACATCGAGCATGTACATTTCAATCTAACGCTAGTTTCTCAGCATTTCTTTGATGGTTTGTTGCAGGTATTTGCTTTAAGCGAAGAAGAACGTCAGTCAAGGCTGCTAGGAAAAACATTAACCTTAGCGCCAGAAACAAAAACGTATTTACCTGATAAAGAAAAGCATTATAAAAAATTGAAGGAAAAAATAGATTGAAGCAGGTGCAACAGAGTCCACACTTGAGGAGGCTACTAAAGTGAGAGGCAAGAGGTGCGGGACCGACTGCCTCTGGTCTTACAGAGAAATGTTACTTTTCTTGGCATTAGAATAACAAAGTAGCATTAGTTATATACGTAGTAGTAGTAATAGTAGTAGTCGTAGTAAATAGTTATGATGGTGATGCTGATGTGTAGACGGTTGTTGATGGTGGGGTATACGTGCTTGCAAGATGTCATGGCTGATGTATCGTACCAAAGTATGCAAGTGAAATCAAAGAATGTCTCGACTTTCACAACCCTTCCACAAATCTCCAACTTCACTAATCACATCTTTTCTTTTTAAAGCATTTCACCCCAAGCAAGGCGGGAGTGTCACTAGCACCCAAGGGGTTACAGAGAGTGGGAGCAAGAATAAAGTGGCGTTTTTGAGGAAAGGATGAAGAGAAGGACGGGGAATTAGATCAAGACATCTGAAAATGTCGACTGATATTGCATTTGGATATTTGAAGATTATAGCTATAAGGAAAGCGAATAAGAGGAAGAAAGTTCCACTGACGGGAAGTGCGAGACATGAAGTCACTTGAGTAGAAGAGACGGCTACATTTAGAAGTTTCGACAGTGAAAGAATGGACTGAAATGCCAAACTAGTATCACGTTTAAATTCATGCAGTTTAGGAACCAGTGAAAATAGTTTGTCGGAGCAGTTACCTTGAAAGTTTTTGTAGAAAAGACATAGGGAGGCGACGGCACGTCTGTGAGAAAGTGACTGTAGACCGCATGCCAGATCAGGACCTATCAAATTGCATATCTGTCTGGATTTTCTTGAGGACCTTGAGATTAACAGCGGGGGCTCCAAACCATATATAGCAGCAGTATTCTATGCAAGGGCGAATGGATGATTTATAGATTTGAACGGTGATCTCAGGCGAGAAAAACTTTCTGGTATGTCACAGGGAACCATCTTTCCTTGCAGTAGATGAAGCTATTGATTCAATGTATTTGTTCCATCTCAGTTCAGCGGACAGTGTGAGACCAGTCAGGCGAAGAGAGGCACTCTCGTGGAGTTGAGCATCAGATATTCTAATAGGAGGCAGGGAGGGTTCTCTGTGGTGGGTAAAACAGAACAGTTTTGTTTCTGATGCATTAAAGTTTACCAGCCATTTCTTAACACAGTCAGCCACAGATTGGAGGTCCTTTAGAAGACCAACGGCCAGGTTAGTTTTGTCAGTGATACCAGATTTGCTATTGAGGCAGGAGTAAATACTAGTGTCCTCTGCATAAATGCCTACTTAGGAAGTGATGACATCAGGAAGATCGTTAATGAAGATCAGAAACAGATGAAGATCAGTTTGAAATGGTTTTCATTGTAACTCTTATTAGGACATGGTTCTCGACCCCATAAAAAAAACTTAGCGATAATAAAACGCGCAGAATACTGGAGAGATATGAAAATTGTCTTGAGATGTAATGTTATATAGGTTCCATTGGCGCCGCGAGGTATTATTGGTTGAGTCAAATATCACTACTTCGAGTAATAAAATGACACAGCAGCACAAAACCAGAACCTATCCCAGAAAATAGTGAAGCCAAATACCCAGGAATTTAGAAATCCAGACCAAACAACCTATCCGAGAAATAAGACTGAATTTGTTTGTTAGGGACAAAGAAAAATACATTAATATATATATATATATATATATATATATATATATATAACAAGATAATGAATGTCATGGTATAAAATAGTTTCTTCTGTACATACAATTTGTTTAACAGATTCAGTTTCATAAATCAGTAATAATCAATATAGGAAAAATGTCTTATCTTCAATAACTGCCTTCCTTTTACAAATAAGTTTGTAGTCGTCGGAATAGATTTAAAATAGTTCTGTATTAAAGAGAAAGGAAGACTTGAATACGACAACATTTTAACATTATCAGAAGATACTATGTCAAGGGAGATAACTTCTGATCGCATCGAAAGTTAATTTAAAAAATTCTTGTCTTACTATTTGATCATAAATTTTCCTTATTTCTCTTTCTTTTGTTATTTTTTCTACTTGTCGAGTCTTTTACTTAAAATCTAATTTTGCCTCTTTCATATATATATATATATATATATATATATATATATATATATATATATATATATATATACTGCGCCAAATTATTATCGAGATAACTTTTTCTCATATTTCAAAAACCGTCTAATCAATTCACACAATGTTGGCAACACTGGCCTGCGCAATCACTGAAATTTTCCTACTGATCTGCGCAATGTAAACAAACTGGTGCCATATTTGTTATCAGCACGGTGATTTGAGCGTGCCAAATTGTTAGAAAAGTGTAAGAATTTAGTGAAAAGATGGGCTGTAAAAGCAGTTTAAGTGATGCTGAAAAGAAAACTATCACCCCAGAACTCTCAAAAGGTAAATCTACCCTATAAATTTCTAAAATGATAGGGAGGTGTCATCAAACAGTGAAAAAGTTCACCGCCGACCCTACACAAGTACGCAAAAGGGCAGATAAAGGCAAGCCGAGGGTTATTTCACGTTGTCTCATGTCACGACTTAAACGAGAGGCGACGAATAACACTGGACTTACCAATCAAGAGCTTTTCAGTCGCATTGGGGATCCTACTGTCTAAAAGTACTCGGTGTCGGTATCTGAGGGAAATAGCAACAACAGTCAAACCTGTATCGAAGCCTCCGTTGACGAGAAATCACATTCAAAATCGATTGAAATGGGCCGAGGACAATATCAAGATTGACTTCTCTAAAGTTTTGTTCACAGACGAAACTCGAGCAACACTTGATGGCCCAGATGGATGGTGAAAAGCCTGGGTAATGAACGAACAGAATCGCCATCAGTGTTTGAGACGCCAACTAGGCGGTGGAGGCATAATGATCTGGGGTGGTATCATTGGAAAAAACATTAGTGGGCCCATGGAGAGTACCAGATTGCGTCAAAATGAATGCTGATGCATACATAGCGTTTATGAAGGAGCATCTTGAACCGTGGATGAAAAGGCAAAGAGTTGCCTTCAGAAGGGCCATTGTTTTTATGCAAGATAATGCTCCCTCACATGCTGCTCACAAGACTACTGTATATTTGAAACAGTTAGGCTTCGATGGACCTCGAAAAATGAAGTGGCGAGCAAATTCTCCGGATTTGAACCCAATCGAAAACCTTTGGAGGATCATGAAGCGAAGACTGTACGCCAACGGATTACAATTCAGGAGCAACGCTGAGTTGTGGGAAGCAATTCTTGACATATCTCGCGGCATTACAGCAGATGACATCCTACAATTAACAAATTCTATGGATCGTCGACTTCTTCAAGTAATTTCAAAATAGGGAAAGTACATTACCCTATTAATTTGTTTAAAACTGTGTCTTTGTTTGTATATGTTATTATTTGTTTGATTATCTTATTTATTAGCTTCTTTTGATCATAAACATTCACGTACAACATTAATAAACGTTTCGTTTGCTCAATTCTGGGAATTTTACTAAACCTTTCTAATAATTTGGCGCGCTCAAATCACCATGCTGATAACAAATATGGCGCCAGTTTGTTTACATTGCGCAGATCAGTACGAAAATTTCCGTGATTGCGCAGGTCAGTGTTGCCAACATTGTGTGAAAAGTTTGTGTGAATTGATCGGACGGTTTTTGAAATATTAGAAAAAAAGTTATCTCGATAATAATTTGGCACGCAGTATATATATATATATGATATAACGATATATTATTGTATATAATTTTTTGTGATACGTTTCATCCGTTAGGATTTTATCGGACTGCACTTTTTAGATGTTGCCCCGTCTACACATGCGCACAAAACGAGAGACGCTGTTAGCTTCAAAATTTTTTAAATACTATTTTGAAAGAATATTTTTCGAAAGAATATTTTTTCAATCTATCCAAATTCATCTGTATTCTTTTTCTTTTTCTCTCCATCACCTTGTCCCTGTGATAGTAACTTACCGGATCTTGTAGATAAACTAAGTCGAACACACAATAGAATTTACATACCAAAGAGAAAAAAAACATTGAAAGGGCGTTGAAGGTGGGTAGGCTAATCAAACAAAAAGTTAACAGAAAAATTAAAAAAGAAATTCTTTAGATTCAGGAAGCTTCTTAAAGGGGACTGTAGATAAAATTAAATATGCGGAACATCTATATAAGATATTAATAATACTAACAGGACGCCAATACATAGCAATATTAAAGCTGAATAAACAAAATAAGGTAATTACCCTTTCAAAAAATTGAACATGTCATATTTTTCTACAATCACAATACATTTGTCGCTAACATATTTTCCGCAATCGTCAATGATGGCCTGTCTATGTTTCGGTTCATGAAACAATAACTGACCCACCTTCACCCTCTGAGCTTACTTTTATAATTAGCGTAGATCTGACATTTAATTAGTTAATGAAGACATACTCACAAGTGTATTTTTTTTAATTCTGACCTTATATCCCCCACCTTTTAATTTTCGGAAAAGAGTCAACACTTCGTTTTTAAATTCTCTTAAAAATCATTTACTTACCATCGCCTGAAGAAGTACAGTTAAGTATGAAACATGAAACATGTAGCGATTTCAACATATTTTTATTATAATCTCTCATAAAAAAATAATAACACTATATTGCAGTACTTTGAATTGAGCACTTTTTAAAAAGTAAATTCTACGAACAGTGGAATTTTACTGCATCTGTTGTTTCTCTCATTTGGGTATATATATATATATATATATATATATATATATATATATATATATATATATATATATATATATTATGTGAAAATATATAGAAAATAGGAAGGAACTGGTTAGGTAAATAGTCCAAAGTTCCTTAGTATTTTTGTTATTATTTTTAAAAAATAGTGCTCGATACAAAAGTAGAAACATAAATATAATTATTTATTTAAAATATGATTCCAAATCGCTACATAAGAGGTCTCATGTTTCAAAACAAGAGCCGAAAACTTCAATATAATCCTTTAAATTGAATTGAGTTGAAATTAAAACAAAAATTCCATCTTGAAGAATTTCCAACAAAAAATTCGGAGCCCTTTTTAATTTCAACTCAATTCAATTTAAAGGATTATATTTTTTCGGCTCTTGTTTTGAAACATGAGACCTCTTATGTAGCGATTGGAATCATATTTTTAAATAAATAATTATATATATATATATATATATATATCGTAGACTCTCCCGTCGTCATCTCTCGACCGGACGGTGACCCGAAACAAGAGATATCCAGGCCACAATGTGCTTTTGAGGTGTTGATGTTTTTACGACGTACATAATACATAATGATATATCTTTGTGTATGCTTGTATGAGACGTTACAACTCAAAATCTTCGTATTTTATGACATTCGTTCTGTCTTTTCTTGTCTTCTTTTGTCTTTTTGACACCGGTTTTGTTAATGAAGATTGCTGCTCTCTTTCCTATTTCAGCATGAATTTGTTTATCTCGTTACTCTCATAATTTCAACTGGTTTCTTATTATCTTCTGCTGTTCGTTTTTTTTTTCTTCTCCATCATTCATTTCCTCCCCGTACTTGAGTGCATTTCAAATGTCCTTCCTGCCCATTTCGACATTTTCGTTTGCTTATCGCAAGGCTCATCTTTACAACATCATTCGTCAATACTTTCGGTGAATTCTGATTTCTCCTTTAATTTTATCATTGTCTTTATTCACTTCTATATTTTACATATTTTCTTTCCCTTTTTTTCGTTCTTCTTCTCTTCTTTAATTTTCTTCTTTTATTTACCTTTTCACTCTCCTTTATTTTCTTTTATTTCATTTCTAAGCATCCCCTCCCGTTTTCCTCTACCTATTCTTCTACTTCAATTCCCTTATATAGTTCTTTCTTTAAAATTCCTCTTCTTTGCAAATGGTCTGTTTTTTTTCTCGTGACCTTTTTCTTTTTCTCTCCTTTCACTTTCATAACATTGACCCTTTTGCGCCCCCACTAATAAAAGTGAATTATAGTCTTTTTATTTTCTCTGCTTGATTTCTCAAATGACGCCTTCACAATTCAAATCAACCTGAACTGCAAATGCTTCTTTCTTTTCAATATTTCTCTCTCTATCTGTCTCTCTCTCACCATTCACCCACACTATTTCTCTATCTGTATCTTGATTTTTCTTAAATACATTTCATTTTTACTGACTTTCTCACAGGCTTAAAATCTTGTTGACTATCCCCAGTTCTCTCATTTCCCGTCTATGGCATAATATCGCGTGTCCAAAATCGTAGCAATGAAATTTTTAGGCTGTCGACTGTATTTTGAAGGTCTACGCCAATATACATCATCCATATGAAGAACCACTTCGTTCTCAACATCGTATGAATATTTTATTAGATCGTCTCTTACAAGTCTCACACATTTACAGTGACGTTCAAAAAATATTTCAGCCATTTGACTCATGCACCTGTTCTACTTTCAATATACAGACTTACCTTTTATACCGTCATATATTTTTGACGAACATTTTATATAAAGTGCATAACTGAGAGACGTATTCCACGAAAGTAGCCAGGAGGTCATATTGACTCATAAAGGCGAAAATCCTTTAATATTCTACACAGAAATGTGGCTATTATTACATAAATTAATAGCATTCTTTTCTTATTTTGATCATCACTTTGATCATTCCGAGTTTCCCGTTGAATTCTGAGATAGCGTAGCCATTATTCCATGAATTATTCGGACTAATATTCTCACTCATGATCAGCACATGCCAATGTCCTCCCAAAGATTTCTAGCCTGTTTTCTAACGCGAAGGATCCAGAATTACATTAATTCATTTTTGGCACGCAATTGCTTTATTTTAATTTCATTTTTGTATTCATCGAGACTCGAATATTGATATGGTTAAATGAAAAATGCTGCAGCCGGCGGCCATTCTGATATAACTAGCAACATACATCATACCTATATTCACCTACCACTTAGGCAATAATCAATAAGAAGGTAGTCCAACACCTAAAAAAGAAAAACCCTTCAGCGACAAGAAGTATGAGTTTCGATCGGCCTGATCCGCTGCTGACGTCCTAACTACCATAACTCACAGAATCATTTAGGCTCTTGAAGACACATCCGAGGATCATAGCATAGGTTATCTCAAAGGCCTTCGACAAGGGGTGGTACAAAGTTTTACTACAAAAGCTCTCTAGTTACGAAATCAATGGAAGGGTCTTCTTAGTCATAAAATTCTTCCTAACTGGTAGATCCCTGAAGATATTTATTGATGGCCAGTCCTTCGGAGCCCTAGCGGCCAGCGCAGGCGTCCGCCATCGATCACTCTTCGGATTAACCCTATTTTTATTCTACATAAATGATCCGCCTTAGAATATACTCAGATCATTTGTAAACATCTTTGTCGATGATACTATTATATACGTGTGCATCTCTAAAACTCTCGATGGTCAGAGATTGGAGACTAATCTCTTTTCCGATCTTGCATTAATTACCAAAATGAGTTAAAATTGGCTGGTTACATTCAATGCTTCGATGACCAATCTAGTTACATTCCATCATCACTGACCTAACCCCAAACTACCACCAATCAGGATGAAGAGATGTCCTCTCGGGGAAGCACACTGGCTTGAAAGATTGTTGGGCCTCATATTCACACACGACCTCAAGGGAAACTTGTACATACGATCCACTGCTAAGGATGCAGGTAAAATGATCAGCTCCCTTGTACCACTCTTGTAAGTACCTGGTCCCTACTTCTATTCTATACCTTTACAAGAACCAGATCAGGCCCAATATGGAGTACGGTTGTCATAATTGGGTGGGAGCTGTCCAGACCTCACTCTCCAGACTTGATGGAGTCCATCAGCGTATCCGAGACCTTGTGGGTGACGAATTATTCTTCACCCTTCAGCCTCTCTCCCACAGGCAGGATGTGGAAAGCCTCATGTTGCTCAGACACTACTTCTACGTAGTATCAATGTGTTTTGTTGAACTTATTTGATATATTCTAAAAATTGCCGTCTGAAGTTATTAGGTAAAACCAAATAATCAAATTTTATTTCAATAAAAATGTAATAAAATCATTAAAAATTGATCAACACCTATAACAGATCATATAAAACACAATCCTTTTGAATCCTTTACATTTTAATAGATTAACACTTCTTCAGACACTAATCTATTATCCATTGATTTTGTTATTTTTTTTTTACTTCAGCAGGTTCATTTTTCGAGATGCTAATTCTAATGGCTTCCTATAGGCCTGCTTTGCTGTCACATTATTTGCTACCTCCATATAAGTTAATCATCACCATTGAACATAAAGTTTCGATCGGATTCAGATCAAGACTTGATGGTGGCCATACCATTATCTTGTCACCTTCTCATGAGAAGGAGCATTGTCATGCATAAATACACACTTCAGTTTGAAACTACGAGACTGGGACTTGCACCATGCAAAGAAAATTCATAAAATTGCAATTGTAGCACTGTTCTGTTTAACACCTTAATCGACTTGGAATGGTTCAATAATGGTTTGTTCGACGATTTCAGCCCGTATTCATCTTTTGGTTCATCCATCAGGTCCGTCAAATATCACTTGAGATTCGTCCGTGAAAATTACTTTAGAAAAGTCATTTTTCATGTATATCTTGGGTCAATTTTGACGCTTTAAAATATTTGCTTTAGTGATAGGAGTTTGCCGCGGAGATTTTTTTCAGATCCCAATTCAAAGTATTCTACACCTTTCTCCCTTTTTGATTCTCTCAATTCCAGCCTTTTGAGTGCTGGTCAAATGTGGTTGTTTCACTATAACTCGCTTTACGTTCATCTCGAGGAAGCAAGTTCTTAAAGTCTTTTCCTCTTCTTCGAGCTCTCAACTTATATTTTCAACAACCTTCTTTAGCGTTCGATGATCTCTTCAAATTTCCTTTGATATCTCCAATATGTTCATTCCCTGAATCAATAATTTTGTTATTTTCTGTTTTTCATTAGTTGTTAGGCCTTCCCTTTACCCATGTTTCAATATATATTATGTACAAAAAATAGTTTATATTATTATATTACTTTAATCTGCATACCAACTTCAGTCAGCATATTTTCGTAAATTCCAAATTAAAAATGGCAGAAAATTTATTTAAATATTCTACTGAGGGAGGAAATGAAGAGTTTAAATTTGAAAAAAAAATATTGGTTCAGAACCCTTTGAGTTATTGAGGTTAATTTGATTTGCATAATAAGGCGATAATGCCACTAAGACGCAAGGGGCTACTGGGAGCGAAAGAGAAGAAGAAGATTTCAAAAGTAACTGGAAACTCAATCCAAAACAGGAAACAAGAAATAAACCTTTACTTCTGTTCAAAATAGTGGAGAGGTGTGTAAACCGGACGATATGTGAACCTATCTACTCCCCATTGGTCAAAACGTAAAGATGAAGACAAAGAAGTTAAGTATATACGTTCAAATTATTCATTATACCAATGCCTCATCTTGAAAATTCAGATAATACTGGTAAGGACTTAGAGATTACCAGTCAAAATGTACGGATCAAAATTAAAATAGATGAGGATAATAGTAGGAAGATTTAATGAAATAATAAGTATCCAGTGATCAGATTATTGTTCTGTTTGTGGACAAAAAAGTAGAGAAAAAGATTAGAGAAACGTATAGTTCAAGTATTAAAACATACAACCAAGAAACGGCTTCTACACAGAGCATTGTTTACAAAGCGTATCTTTAATGAGACTATATTTGTTACAGTTTATTCTGGCGGTCAGAGCAATTAAAGGATACTATTTAATATATGTGAGCGTTTAATAGCTTATTAAATGAGATTATGTACATAGGGTTGACAATGATAAACGCCCTTTTCACTTCTGTTTATGAGAAAATTTCTTGAGATTTTTTATGATTGCCATCATTAAAGTATATCCGATTTCATTTCGCTTTTGAAATAGAAAATGAGAAAGAGAAAAATATCAGACAAGAAAAATCGAAGTAAAACAATTAAAGGAGGAAATTGAAAAAAAAGGGGTTTTCTTTCAGAAAACTCTGCATAGCCGACACACACGCACATATATATTGGTAATCTATCTATCTATCTATCTATCTATCTATCTATCTATCTATCTATCTATCTGTTTATGTGTGTGTGTGTGTGTGAGTGTATATTTATATGTGTATATATATACATAATTACTGGATAATATATATAATTAACATAATATATATACTTAATATATATATATATATATATATATATATATATACATATGTATAATATGCATATACATTTGATATTTTATATATGTAATATTATATATATATATATATACATATATATATATATATAAATACATATATATACACATATATTTAATATATATATATATTTAATATTATATATATATACATATATATATTTGATATTATATATACTTAATATTGTATATATATATATATATTTTTATATTATATATAATTAATATTATATATACATATATATTTTATATTATATATAATTATATATACATATATTTTGATGTTACATATACATATATTTTGATGATATATATGCTTAATATTATATTTATATATACAAATGTATTATATACATATATATTTGATATTATATAATAATATATATATATATATATATATATATATATATATATATATATATATATATAAATCAAATTAAGCGGTCAGTAACTGTAGTGTGTGAAAATGAGAACCTTTGTATCTACAGGCAAGTCCGAGACGGTAAAGTTACCGCCTGTGAGTGTGTGTATATATATATATATATATATATATATATATATATATATATATATATATATATATATATATATATTAGAAATGGACAAAGTCCGACAATTTATTTATTAAAAGTCATTTTTTATGTTTAACGTTCTTAAATACTTGTATCTATAAAAGAACGTTAAACATAAAAAATGTCTTTAATATATATATATATATATATATATATATATATATATATATATATATATATATACGTGTGTGTGTGTGTGTGTGTGTGTGTGTGAATGCGTGTTTGTGTGTGATATCATTATTATTTTAAAATATATTTTTACCGCGACACAGGAATTACTATGTTTTGAAACTAAAAATTAAAATTAAAATTTTAAATTTTGTTCTATTTTCAATCGATGTTGAATAACTTCAGGAAAAATTACTTTTTTAAGACAAGTTGCATTATATTTAAAAAGTTTAAGTTGGAGGGGGAATAAGATTTTAAAATTTTAAATGGGTGTTTTCTTTTTTTGATGAATCAGGGAAATGGTCTAATCTAAAATGGAAAAATGACAAATGTAGGTGAAATGGTTAGTAGTAAGTTAGGAAAAAAATCACTTGCTTTGACTGAAGAATATTTTCCAAGAAATAATCCTCTTAGCAAGATTCTCAATAAAAAATACCCTAAAATTAGGTTATAGTTGTATTTAAAATGTAGAAAATTTATGAAAGAACAAAATGATAAAATTTGAAATAAATACTTAAACCAGAATAAAAATATAGTTGTTTAGAAATGAGAATAAATAATAGTAATGAAAAATTAGGTAAGTTTCTTAAAAATAAAGATTTATTAAATCTACGAAAAGAAATAACTGTTTTTTGCAGGCATTGCGCAATGTTCACTTTAAAACATAATTAATAAAACTTTTATAATTATATAACAATGTCATTCTTAATTTACCATTAAATATAATAAATATAGAGTTTTCGATCTTTTATAATTAAAAATATAAATATATAAAATATGATTTAATCATATTTGAAGCCCATTTAAGACAGCCCCAATGTATTTGAAAAAAAATAAATAAATAAAAAATAAATAAAAATGCCAAAATTAACCCGTGGTTCGATACATATAACTCCCTGTATTTTAGTTTATCTTTTATATATATTCCATAAAGATAGACACAATGGCACATTTTATACACGAAAGCCTAAGTCGGCATGTAGAAATTACATACCCACACCAAATCTGTAACCAACATTATTCCCCTTTCCATGTTCAGACCTGTTCCCTGATTCATCCAAATAGACAAAACCCATTTAAAATTTGAGATCACATTCCCCCTCCAACTTAAACTCTTAAATATAATACTGCTTTGCTTAAAAAAGTAAATCATTTTGTTTTTCTGAAGTTCTTCAACATCGCTTGAAAATGGAAGAAAAAATTTAAATTTTAAATTTAAATATATATTTATATATATTTCTGGAACCTCTTAACGAGTGAACAGTGTGATTGCTGGAGGGTCCATCTACGAAACGTTTGAGTCAGTGTTCTGAGAGTAACACCAGTCAGCTAAGTGACAAAATTCATATTTGCATTATATATATATATATATATATATATATATATATATATAATCTCGAAAACAGCATTTACACACCTTTTATTAGGCAATAAAATACATCACTTAGCGTCCATTGTAATTTACCTACCCTCATACAGCAAGCTTTATGAATATTTTAGAGCGTTCTTAAAGATAAAATTTGAAAACTTTACACTTCTGTGTATAAACGTTATAAAATAATGTTTCCGTATTTACCTTGATAGTTCCTCAGGGGATGAAACGTGTTGATAAAGAAAGTTTTCCTTTTGTATAACGAAAAACAAAGAAAAGTTTATTCACACGTGTCTGTTAAAATTGTTCATACACATTAACTCGATAAACATAATAAGTTTATTCAATAGAACCGTCCTCAATGCTATCAGGAAGAGATGGAACATAATCCCATGTCCCTTCGCATATTCCCATAAAAAGAAATCACACAGAGACAGGTCCGGTAAACGCTGCGCCCATTTCATCAGAAAACTGTCTTCATCTCCACCACACCAGATCGAGCTCTCTGGCAGATTATCATTGAGATAACAAAAAGAAAAAAAAAAAACAAACAAAACAAACAAACATTAAATATAAAATCTTGGTCTGTTTCTATATACATTCTGTGAAAATTTGAGGTTATTTCAACAAGAATTGCCAAAAAAATTCTAAATGAACGCTTTCTTTTCACATAGTTTATTTTTAACTACATACTAATCTTTAAAATGTAACGAAAAAATATTTTAAGCAATCTAGTATTTTCTTGAATTTTGAAGGTGCTTTCTGGAATAAATTTTTAAAAATTACTGCTAAATATTTATTTTATTATAGGTAATATTTAATGATATAGGAATTAAGTAAAACAAACTAACTTTAAGATTTTGAAAGGTTGATTTGCAAAGCTTGGAATTTCTCTAAGAAATATTTTAAAGGCTAAGACAGAACACAAGAAAGTTGAGCCGGACGTACTGCAAAGTGATGTAAATATTTTCTGCATTTCCCCGTAAGGGAAACAACTCTTAAATCACATGACTTGAATCATGTTATGTCTGGACATCCGTATTTACAAAAATAGCCACGTTTATATATATATATATATATATAGTTTATGCAAAACTAGGTAATCTGTATGGGTAGACCCAAAGAGGATGATATCCGGAGAGCTCAATGTAAATTCAGAGCAAATATGTTTGAATAAAAAACAGACCACTTTAAGGTTCCATGTAATAAATTATTTCACCACAGCCCTTTTAAAGGGCTCTGGATCATCGGACTTTACTTCCATAGGTTGAAATGAAAAATGAAAAGAAATTTACACATTTTTGATGGGCCGTATTAAGCATAAGCAAATTAACGAAGTGAGGAAGTGAAGGAGAAAAGAAGAAGAAAACATCCTCATGATCAAACACAAGGATCCAGATTTATTACTAAATAGTCACAATGAACTAATTTTTAAATGCCGACATAAGAACAACCTAAACCTAGGAAAATACATTGAGAAATAACCATATAGGAAAAATAATATTGAATGACCTTTGTTCTTTTTTGCTTTTGAAAAAAGCTGTACGCGCATGAGCGCGGACACATGACTGTATGTGTATAACTATGGTATTGTACTTGAACACTGATACGTCTTTTAATATGTACATGTATATGTTTTTATGTGGAAGGAGAAGCATACTGTTCTTTTTTTTAATGTATATGTGAGTGTGGATGTGTGTAATTAGATAGGTACTTATACGTCTTGCCACAGATATGGGATGGCGAGTAATATATGTATAGATATATATATGTATAATTATGGGATTTTGTGTATTCATAATGTAATGACGTATTGATATTGATATGTTCTTTGAATGCATACATATATGGGTGTGTGTATGTATATGTATATGTATATGTATATATATATATATATATATATGTGTGTGTGTGTGTATGTGTATATGTGGGTATATGTGTATATGTATATGTGTGTGTACGTATATATGTGTATATGTATAGATGTGCATGTATGGGTGTTTGTATATGTGTGTATGTATATGTGTGCATGTATGTATATACATATATATATATATATATATATATATATATATATAGATAGATAGATAGATAGATAGATAGATATACATATAAGTATATATGTGTGCATATATGTAGGTAAATATGTGTATGGGTGAATATGTATGTATATATGTGTGTATGTATCTTTCTACAGGTGTATATGTGTATGTATGGGTATATACATATAGTTTTGTGTGGATGTGTGGGCGTGTGTATATATGGATTTATAGGTATATAGGGATATGTATGTATGTGGATATAGATAGGTGTTCGGATATCTGTAGAGGTGTGTATGTGTATCGATATATAGAATATAATAAAAGAAGGACCTAATTTTCTGTTAGTAATGTTTTATCCAAATTTCTTATCTAATATTCTCCAATTGGATATGAGTTCAAATAACACGGAGGTAAATCTTAAATTGATAACTTAATTTAAATTGAAATACATTACCCTTTAATAATCATTATTGATGATAAAATTATTTAAATTGGAATAACCCTTGAAAATTGTGTAGGTATCTAAAAACAGTCACGAGTTTAATTTACGAACAAAACTCAAACGAATAGATGTCAACTTAATAATCAACAGGAAAAAGTTTAGGAAAATAAAAAAATATTACTAGATGTAAAATGAATTATTCTTTCAATATACTTTCTATGAATTTTTTCCAATCGACCATTTCATAGAAAATACCCAAAACTCCAACAAACATCAAATTAAATTAAATTCTTCGTCGATTTTTTTAGACATTTAGATTTATACCAAACTTTAACCTATAAATATACCCTTTAAAGGAATGCAAAATAACAGCCTCCAAGAAATTAAGTGAAACCTTCTCTCATCAGGGTTATTTTATTGTATCTTCTTCCTTTTATGTTGGCTTTCCTCTTCACCACTTACCCATACATATCTAAAGATAACATAAGTCAAGTGAAACGTTTGTCTAGCCCACACCAAGTGGGGTTAGGGATAAAGAATTGAAATGGTACATCTAACTAACTCATGTCTTCTCCCGCCACTCACTTCCTCACTTCGCCTTCTCTCCCCACTCACTTTCTCACTTCGTTAATTTACATATGCTTAATACGGCCCGTCAAAAATGTGTAAATTTCTTTTCATTTTTCATTTCAACCTTTGGAAGTAAAGTCTGATGATCCAGAGCCATTTAAAAGGGCTGTGGTGAAATAATTTATTACATGGAACCTTAAAGTGGTCTGTTTTTATTCAAAATATATATATATATATATATATATATATATATATATATATATATATATATATATATTTATATATACCCCAGCAAATACTGTAGTCAAGGAATTGTAGTAAATTTTCCGTTTATGATTAGTAAATATAGTT